GCCCTCAATGTGATTCTTTGAAATGCTTTGTATTTTCCTCCAGATTACCTCACTAGTTTCAAATATCCAACTTGGTGGCTTTTATAAACTGTTACAACACTTATTATACTGCATTTTAATTTTCTGTTTACTTGTCTCTAAACCCTCTATAAACAGGCAGTTCAACAAGGACTGGTACACTGGTACAGAATTTCTCCTGTTCACTGGTATGTATATTCCTATCATAGTGCAGCAGTGCCTGACACATGAGAAACACCCAATAAATATTTTTTAAGTAAATGAACAAACACATAATTTGACTTGAGTATCTTTTACCTAATTTAGAATCTATTTCTTGCTTATAAAGATAATGCTTAAATATGAGACAAATTAGTATTGCATACATATAGGAGGAAGGAGAACAAAAAAGTACCTTTCAATGAGTGTCCCATTTTGAATCATCCAAACATCACAATATGTTCGAGACACCAGCATAACAGCAATAAGTATCAAGTAACCTGTCTAAAATAAACCAGGTATAGTAAATAAATGCATTTTGCAAAGTTAAAAGAAACATTACCTTGGTAAAGATTTTTGGTTTCCAAATTCAAAGCTTTATTCCAGCTTTAATATAGCTTGCTGACATTTTACCTACAGGCAACTTTAAAATACTTTTTAAAAGGAACTTAATCTTTCTTATCCAGAATTCAAAAGTGAATCCTAAGCAGGTCAAATGACCTGTCTTCACACAATTAGTAAATGACAGAAGCTAAAAGTATAACTTAGATTATTTGAATCACAGTGTATAATGGTTTTCTCATATTTTGAATATACAACTTTAGCAAAGAAAGATGACAATAACTGTCAATACAGTTAACAACTAACAAATATTGAAGCCTAAAATTTGGCCTAAGCAGAATAAACTTGGTTCAATTTGTTAGAAAAATTTCTAATTGTGCCCATACTCTCACAGGGCTTTCAATTTAGTTATTAAGGCAAGATATATACATAAAAAATAACAAGAAAACAGACAAATTTAGGCAAGCATAACTGTAACACTTCATGTTATAAGTGATGAGATGAGAAAGTTTGGGGTAGGTAGCAAAAGAAAGGTATGGCATTGGAAATATGTTAAATAGACCAAGTAAAACAAAAGAAAGAATGAGGATTAAAGATAAAAAAGGTAAAGATTTAATAGAGAAAAAAAAAAGTTAAAACCATATAAAATATGGTGTTGCATATCCAGCAGAATTTAGACAGTGTAAAATTACTGCAAGCTTCTAGGTAGAATAAAATGTTGAAAAGTGACATTTAAAGAGTGCTGCTTAAGCAATGCTGTGCAAGATGGATCATGAAGGGGAGAGAGTTGACAGGCTAGGTGACTGGCCAGGAGTCAGTTA